CTAAAGTACATGCAGATGTAAAATGACATTTGCGCTTAAGCATTCGCATTCTAAAGACACTTCGCAGTAGGAGATAATTAAGCTTACGTACAGTTAATTAAGTTCATGGTCAAGTTAAATCTTAACTTTCCTATAACGATCCTTCCAATCTAACTTTAAGGAATTACAATTTTTTTAAATAAATCGAGCGATAATAAAGCCCATACTATTTAAGGCATTAAAACGATTCGGCTGTTATTAGCCGTTGTAACTTAAATATAACATGAAATAGTAATGGGAGAAACAAAAGACTCAATAGTGCTTATTCGCCAAGATAAAAGTAAATCTTTCGTAATTTTCGCGGCATACTCTTAACTCTTTAATAATACATTGTTGACTTTTAAAAACCGACTTGTATTTCTCCGTAAATAAACAGGCGGCAAATGAAGTCATACGCACGGGGAGCATGCAATTCTAGTGATTACACAGCATCGAGTGAGAAGGAGAAAAATGTACAAAGAATACGCGAAGAAAAGGCGGAGAGAATGTAGAATAAAAAAACCTTGAACAATCCTACGTTATAAAATCTTTGCGGCGATTTTACTGAAACGAACCTCGCGCTCTACACGTCATACATAAGCGCCTGCGTGCGCATTCATATACAAGCTCACGTTTATCTATCCATATATAAATATCTATGCAAATGAAGGTGCGCGGAAAAGGTCGCGCGTTGGGCCAGACGCGGGCGGCGTGTTGTAGGAAGAAAGGCGCGCGACGACGACTGCGACGACGACGCCGACGACGGTGGCGGTGGCGGCGGCAGCGGTCCCGGCGGCGGCTGCGGTACAAAAGTCGCGGGCGTGAGAAAGGCAGGAGCAGCGAGCCCGAGAGCCACCAATTAACACCAATTAACGTTCATCTGCTGGCCAAGGTACATGTGTGCGGTTGACCTATGCTCAGATTATGAGTACAGGGGACTCGTTGTGTCTTTCGCCATGTCCCGATTACGGCCGAGCGCCCAGCTCACACACACCCGCCGACACCGCATCTCGTAAATATCGCTCGTTCCCGGTGCGGCGGCCAATGAATTACATTGCGATTCTCTTCTTCTGCATCTCGACGCTCCCTTTAACTAAATCTCCTTCCTCTTTTCGCCTTTCTCTATTTATTGGCACGCCTTAGCTAAGCCAAGTATTTTCCAATAGGCGATGCATTTTCGAGGAGGTGGTGCGGTGGTACGTCGACGCGCTTCGTAACGCGTTGCAATAACGGATTACGACGTACTCCTGTGACATTGTCTAGACGACAATGATGGCCTTGTATTTCTTTCTCTTGGCGTAGTTGGCTATAAAAGTCCCGTACTGCGCGGTGATTTTTTCGCACTTCTTGCCTTTTTTTATTATTTTTTTTTATTTTGACTTATTTTTTTTCTGCGTTTTGAAAGCGAGCGGCATTGTTGCTGCTTATGAAACGTGGATGCATACGAACATATTCGCAGTAGAAGAAGGAAACGGAATTTACTCTATTATGTTTTATGAAAAAAGGAAGAAAGAAAATCAGTCCATCTGACTTTTTGTTTACTATTGGGGATATTTTGATTTTGTCGTTCTTTTTTTTTCTTTTTTTTTCTATCCTTTCCAACCCTATTTCATAATAATTTGAGAATTACAAAATACGTTACCCAATGCGTGCTTTTAAATAAAAAAAAAAATATAAAAAAAATCCTGACCATGCTACAAATTGACAAGCTTCGTTATTAAAATAAAATGCCTAACCAAGCAAGAATAAATAAACGATGCCAATTGCTTAATGATTGCATAATAATTTATATGCCATTTTTTACGCATAAGCTTTGGTCGGTGGCATGGAAGCAGTCGAGAAGTCACGTATATACTTTGTAATAAGATAAATAACCTCGAGCCGATCCGGCTCGAAAAAGTCATTCATCGCGCCACCGTGAATGGATAAAAAAAAGTCTTTCAAGCGCATTACAACGCAACTACAGTTACCACTAATCGATTAAATATACAATGCGAGGCTTCGAGCACTGCACCTATTTATAATATTCAATCTTTCTTTCCATACTTTCATCTCGCGCAATAGAGCGCAACCGCGGCTTATTCCCAGTCAAAGACAACGGCTCAGAGAAAGATAGTTTTTGCAATTAGTCGACGCGTGGCCGTGAGCCGATAAAAGCCGTGCTTGCGCATCCCATTCGCGCAACGTGTCCATGCATCGTTCGCTGTACCAAGGCCGAAGTAAAAGAAGAAGAAGAAGATGATGATGATGATGATGATGATGATGATGATGACTATGATGATAATTATAATGATGATGGTAATGATGAGATGGAGGAGGAGGAGGAGGAGGAGGAGGAGGAAGAAGAAGAAGAAGAAGAAGAAGAAGATGAAGAGGGATCGAAGACGTTATCGGAGGATCGAGTGCGAGAGCCGCTCGCGGTATTTATTATCGCCTAAATAATCTGCGCGTCCATTACGTTGAGATGGGCCGCGTACCTACGCCCTCCAAGCCGAGGTTAATGACTGAGAGAGGCGGCAATGCAGCCTGGACAGCAGCCGTGTAGAATTGAATTCTCCTGTTTGAAGAGAAATTGTGGCGCGGCGAAGAAGCTGGCGTGCTTCCTACGTTACATATTGCAGTTTCCTTTTTTAACGACGGGACGACGTTAAAAGTTAAGTTTGCGCGATGAAAATATCGACGCGTAATGTTTATTCCAGTGGATGCTCCGACAATTGAGTTTATTATTCGGATGGCTCGGATATCAGTTTTGCAAAGCGGGCTTGACTTTACGTGAGTCTTCAGTCATTATGGCGAAATACCAAAATTATTGGCTTTTATTTTATAAATAGCTCGAGTGTCTCGAGTGGAAGAATAAAAAATAGGTAAAAGCTTCTAAATTTCAGTTAACAATAATTGCACTCGTAAACAGAACGTATAACATGTATGAACGATGACAGTACATATCTACAAAATTTAATGATATTCCTATGGTCAATATACAATAGTGTTTTTTATTTTTTTATTTTTTTTTCTCTTAATATAAGAATTATCATTTATTCGCGATCTTCGACACACTGCGCATTCACTACCAAAATACCGACTTGCGAAACGGAATATTTTCCCACGATAAATAATAACGCCAAACATCTCGTTCGTTACCTGGCTCGCAAGTAGATGAGCATCAATAATCCAATAAAAATATTAATGTAGTAGTAGTAATACTAATAACAACAACAACAACAACAAAACAAATCATATTGTCGGTACATCGACGTACACCACCAGGCAGATCATTAATCCCCGTAGTATAGTATTAGGCTCGAACGCCCAGTCATTAGCGGCTAAGCAGAAATAGATAAACCGTAATAAAAGAAATGGGAAAGCCATTCGAGTGCGAGGGAGTGCTGATGAAAGAGACGGACAGATAGGTAGGATGGTGGTTGGGTGGAAGGGATAGAATTAAAGATAGTCGAAAGAGTTGAACATTGACGGCTGAGGACTATGCTCCACCGCCGCCGCCGCCTCACCACCACCACCGCCGCCGCCACCGCCGTCCAGCGGCTAATAGACCGAGTAATCTCGAGCACAGAGAGATCGCGCTGTTTAACGGTAATCTTGGTAATAAAATAGCCCGGCGCTTTATTTACGAGCCGTATAGTAGTATAATCAGTTATGCTCTGATAAGATCATAAGCCGCCCGCTGTGCTCCCATGTAATAATGCTTTCAGCGGCCTAGAAGTGCGCGCGACATTCCTTGTTAACGATTTAGTAGCAGCTCTCCGCTAATCGGCAAATTCCCGCGGTTATTGTGGCCATCGTCTTCTTTTTATTCGTCGCCATTGATACGAGTGCATTCGCCTTTAGAAGCTATTAAATAAACATTAGCCTCGCGGCGCTTAATCGTTACGTGATTCTCGTGGACATTGTTTTTCTTTTCTTTATCGTGTAAATAAACGCCGAAGCGAAAGAGAGGGATTTAAAGATTTTTAAAGAATAAGATCGTTGACATTGATGTGGGCATGGGGAGATAAGGATGGCATGGTAGTTACGCGGGCTTATGGGAAATCTTGTGTCGAGCTATTATTTTTTCTATACGCTCTTCGCGCTTAAGGAACCATACGGGCCCATCGTTCCGGTATGTCGTACACACTGTAAATACATTCAATTTTTAATTTGGCGATTACAGTGAGAGATCGCACGCGTAATATTTTAATATTATCTTCCCGATCTTGCTGAAAATATCAGGCACATTCAAAGTTGCGAGATAAATGTAGCGATGAAAATTACAAATGAATTGGATGATGGATTTTTTTATCTTTTTCTTCTTCTTCTTCTTCTTGTTTTTTTTTATATTATTATTATTAAATTATAAAGTAGCGTTTTTTAAATACACCAAGATCGGATCATCGTGTAAATAAAATCAAGATGTAGAGAATGAATGATTTATGAAACTTAAAGCAAGTCTGAATGAGATGAGAAAATACTTGCCGTCAGGACGATTTTAGATTGATCGATTGATCGCTCGATAAATCGATTTGATCGACATGAATCGCCACGAGTTTCTTTTTTCTTTGAAATATACATTGAAATCCAAGAGCTTTACTAAGGTAAAACCAAACTATTATAAATAAACGATGACGATTCCGGCGTCGTCTTTTTCTTATTCGTGAGCTACACCCATTAAAATCGCTCTTTTGACACGAATTAAGAAATAGTCATTAATCATTGTAGACAAAGCTCGGTGGAACAGTTTCCCGTACCAAATTCGATCAGCCTAATTTGTAATGTGTTTGTATAGGACATGTAATATCATATTAACCAGCTTAGCTCGACCTATCAATTTTAATTATATATCCGCCGTCGGTGGGCACAGCCGTAGCCACCTACACGCGTTAAACAACACACCGATCGATGCACGCACGTTGTAATTTGGTGTTTTAAGTTCCCCCTACGTGCTTAATCTCTAAAATGAAAAAGAAAATCCGCGCTTTCATTTACAGAGGCAATTCACGCTGATCTTGCAAGCGAGGGACGAGGTTAGCGCCGGCGTTATCGAGGAGGCGAGCTACAGCGGCATCGTCCTGCCCGGACCGACGTGGCACACTCTCAACCACCAGGGCAGAAACGCGCATCTCGCTTACCGAGTGAGAGTGCAGTGCGCCGATCACTACTACAATGCAACTTGCACCAAGTTCTGCAGGCCGAGGAACGACATATTCGGGCACTATACGTGCGACGAGAACGGCGACAAAGTTTGCATTCAGGGATGGAAGGGGGCCGACTGTGAAACTGGTAAGTCTCCCACTCTGTCAAATGGATCTCTTATCCTCTCTTGTTACGCGGAAAAGCACTCGTGATCGGTTGGGCTATTTCAAATGCCACTTTCGATATCCAAAGTGCTGCGTTGCGTTACTCTGCTCAACTTGACTTTGCCATTGGAAACGCTAGATCGCGTAAGGCTGCCTCATTATTCGGCGATTAAATATTAAACGCAGCATAAGCATTAACCGTGGGCATTTATTTTATTTTCAAATAGAAGAATTTCTTATTGATAGCCTATGTACAGTCTGCACTTGCGCACAATTAAATAATACAATGTTGTACAAATTAATGTTTAGCCGACGCGAAGATGGTTGGCCTTTAGATTTTTCATTATTATCGAATTAATGATGTTTCTGCTAAATGGAACAAAGCGCACTTTCTACTTTCACCCATACTTCATCACTTAATGTTGTATTATGATAAAATTTGTCCTGATTATAATTAATGTAATCATGTCTTTTCTCCTAAAACAAAAAACAAAACAAAACAAAAATAAAAAAAATGCAAAACAAATAAAACACATTTATTATTATTATTAACGATGATGAAACTAACATTGCCAAACAATTACGTAATAGCATTCTTGAAATAGTACATGTTTTTATAAGTTCTTAAATATAAAGGAATTTTAAATACATACGTGATAAATAACGCTGATATATCAACAAAAGCAAAGAGGTGAAAACGAATTCGCTAAGTTGATTGACAGTCCGGGTGAGCTGACGCTAAAGAAAAGAAAAGACAAAAGTGGCGATAGAATGTTAACGGTACATAATTAGCGTGAGCGTCCGTGCGCGCACCTAGTGCAAAATCAAAATTTACCACGAAAGAAAATAAATGGCAAAAAATCGTCATGCAAAGCAAGGGCTGGACTTTGGAGTTTCTGCGTTATCAAATTATGCTTTCCAGACTCTATATCTACACGTACGCTTAATCGTCCTGTCCAGCCGAATTACTCTACACTAGGATGCGTTTCACGAATTCACGCGCGCCACACTCTCTCACTTTGCTTACTCGTTCGCTCGCTCACCCAACCACCCACCCACACACACACACCCACACACACACACACACCCACACACACACACACACACACTCTCTCTCTTTCTCTCTCTCTCTCTCCCCGTCTCTCTCCGTCTCTCTATTTCTATCTCACTAACTCTTTCCGTGTTTGCCTGTCCTACTCTACCGTGTTATAACGATGTCCGAACAAGCGTATGTTAAACAAGTAGAAAAAACAAAAAACCGACGATCCCGTTTCGAAATGGGATTCAATTTCGCGACTCCAGCGCAATCGCATTCGATGATTAATTTTCGATACCCTACCGCGCATAATAAGTTACGCCGCGTGAGTCCCGCTGCATTTTACAAGGCGCACATCAAGGGTAGCCATCGCTTCGCTGAGTTGCGAATATTTCGTTACGAGCAGCGGCGGCTCCTTCTCATCGTTTATCGCCTCTCTCCTTCTCGCGGTGCGTTTCGGCCCGTTGATACGCTTTTTTCTTCCGCTTTCTATATTTTGTTGCCTCTAGATAATTAATAAGCAATGAATATTATTTGAACTCATGTTCGATCCTTTCATTCCTTCATTTATATTTCGCCTTCGCTCATTGCAATTCTATAAACGTCCCTTAACACTCACGCATACGCCGCTAAACTAATTGAGCTGGCGCCTTTGATAATTTGAATTATCCTGTTTATTATTCGGCGCAAATATTTCTCATTAAAATTATTTTATGATATATGCTAAGGTATTACTCGGTAATACGAGTTACATTTTTTTAATTATGATAAATTATTTTATATTCTATGAGGAATATTATTACATTTAAAATTTCTTTTATTGCTCGAATTAAGAAATCGGGCGAAAGTAATGAAGTCACTATAACTTGTTAAAACTTATAACCATCCTTAATATTAATCGACCTAAGGAAATGTATTTAAATTAAATAAAATATTCTAGTTCTAAAAAGAACCAAATTACCTTCTAATATATTTTTAAACATTAAGCAATAACTTTTTATGAAAAAAAGCATGTGAAACGAAGCTGCATTTTATATTTACGGTGGTCTCATTCCACAACTCTGATCTAATATGTTAACGTAAAGTAATCGAATAGAAAAAAAATATCGAAGGCACTACCATTTTCAATATATTACCTGCATTTATATTAAAAAATACTTTTACGTCTTAAAAAAGTAATTTTTTTAATTATTAACAAGACATTTTAATATATTATAAAATTTTCATAAATTACTTTCATTAAATAACACTATAATGCTGATAATAATAATAATAATAATAATAATAATAATAATAATAATAATAATAATTGTTGTTGTTGTATACAGTATCCAATCTTGCATGAAAATTGATTTTCCACTTATACAAAATAGCGTGAAATTCATCATAGTATATTCTCGTATAATTTATGAAGACTTATGTGCGACTCTATTTGTTAGACTAACTACATATACCTACCATATTAGCCAATCTAATTTCGCAATATGCTTATTCTTCGATTTCAGTTTAATTTATGCCCCCGCCTGAATTTGCCCACGGTTTAGTCGATCTCTACGTAACGCTGATAAAAAGAAGAGATGTAATGGGCCCAACGAGTCGCGAGACATCCTTTCCTTCCTTTATCCGTCGCGCAACACGATGCTGTGCGTCATTGATTAACGCGTTTCCAAGTCCTAATGAGTCGCTGGCCATTCGCGATTAATTTACCACAACTGCGCGTACCCATCGAGAGCGTAAAGTCGAGGGAAAAAAAAAAGCAAGGAGGAAAAGAGATAGAGGCGATGTTTGTTAGCTCGACGTTTTGCCTGCGGCACGACGATAAGACGGTGGCGCGAATTTACGAGGGCGCTCGAAATAGCTGGGACCGTGCAAATTTATTGTAATTGAACGACTGCGTTGGACTTTGAGAGAAGAAACGAACGAACGAACGAACGAACGAACGAACGATCTGGCGCCCTCATTAAAAGTATGTAATGGCGGTGGTGGTGTGCCTCCGCTATTTAAATCTCCTCATTACGTAATTCATTTTCAGTTGCCTTTCTATTTTCATATCGTGAATCCTAACCGACAATTTTCCATTTTTTACGTTCCCCTGTATTTTCAGGTGGTTTAGAACTTTTTTTGCTCTCAAAAGACAATACGAGAGGATTATATAGATTTATTATAAAGTTTATCGCGAGCATTCTATCCTCGGGTTATTTATATTTTATTGCCGTTTAGCCATTTTTTTCCAATGAGTTGATCGGCATAATAAAAAGGTGAACAGTTACGGACCAAAAACAAAACGGGCGAAGCCGCAAGTATAATGGTGTATAATTATTTAATGTCGCGAGAACAAATTAATATTAAAGATTATAGCGATTTTCGTAAAAAAAAAAAAAAAAAAAACCAACAATTGGCATTCATAATAAAAATTCTCAAATTATCATTGATAAAGGAGATCGATGGAGATCGATTGATAAAGGAGATGATAATATATATATATATATATATATATATATATATATATATGTATATATACATACATATAGTTCGTCTTATTTATCATTTTACGTCGCTTTTGATATCATCAATTTTAAATGTAATAATATGCTGTAGAATTGATGTCATTAAGGGAATAAAAAATTATTATTATTGGACGAATGAAAGAAACCGCGAGCATTACAGGATTAGTTGTCGTGTAATGTATCTGGGGTTGGGGGCTGTAAGTCGGTCAGCAAAAGCTCGCCCTTTTATACACGTTAGATGTAACGAGTGGGCGCACGTGTGCCAAACCGATCGTACGATCCTCGGGATGACGACGTAACGACGCATCAGGCGACAGCACATACGACAACACATACAACAACACATACGTCAATACATACGACGACTCGCAATGGCCCACCGTGCAATATAACAGCTCTCTTCATTTGCTGCCTAATCGCTACTTCCGTCTCTCTATGTCAGTCACCGATCAACGATGTCAAGTGCATGCAGAGCCGGCCGCGATCCTATGATCATTTTCGCGCGATTGCGTGGATCCGCAGCTGCTTTTTCTCACCGTGAGCAATGTCGTCCTTCATCTTTTATTTGTCTTCAATCGACTTTTTCTGGCACGCGTGAGTATGTGACAGCGCGACGTGTCGGCGGCGTCCCTATGTAATTGGAAGATTTATAACCACGGCTGGGACTAGCCATTGAAAAATCATGGAATAATCGTTGATACCGAGCCCCTGACCTCTTCGCCCTTCGCTTTCTTCCTTTCGCCGAATTTTTTCTCCTACACGTTCAGCTTGCTCGTTCCTTCGCCATTCTTGTATACGTCAGCGACAAAATTACACGGTAATGCACGAGAGCGTCGCGCACAAGTGCCTCGTCGCCGACTTCTTTCCTCTCCTTTTTTTCCGAACAAATGAGCGATCGAGCGGCTAATGAGATGCAATCTTTTTACCGTATTGATGTTGCGTTGCGTCTGAAATCTGAGAGGCACACTGTGAATGCTTAAGTAATGGACGTTAACATTTTTTTACCCAATTTTTTAATACCTTGAAAACGAAGATATTTGGAAAATTATTGACTGTATGCTTTCGTGTTTATGATATTTCGTATATCATCGTCGTAAAATTCAACGAGGTAAAATTCAAAAATATAAAACTTGGCTTAAACACTAAGTGTCAATCGCTGGTAATACTACTGTGGCTAAATGCTTGGAGTTTATTCGAGATCAAACGTCGCATTAGTTAGGCATTATATAAATTAAACTTTGATGTATAAATTACTCAGACATTTCAATAAATTCGATGTAATATTTTCAGGAAGATGTAGTGGAAAGATTATTGCAATTGCTCGTTACTTTCAGCTTTATTTGATAAATCTTTACGGAAATAAAATGAATCCTTTGGGAGTATTAATTGTGTATAAAAATGAATTTCACATTTACAGACGATAAACTTTTTGCGAACGCT